GACTCGCTTGAGCCCAGGAGTTGGAGGTTGCTGTGAGCTGTGATGCCACAGCACTCTACCCAGAGGGACAGCTTGAGGCTCTGTCTCAAAAAAAATAAAAGAAACCCCCAAAAAAGGGGAGAAAAAAAAAAAAGGCTTGGAGCGTACAGCTCAGCAGCTAGGGTACCAGGCACACAGACTGGAGCTGGTGGGTTCGAAGCCATCCCTGGCCTGCCGAAAAACAATGACAACTACAACCAAAAAAAGAAAATAGCTGGGTGTTATTGTGGGCGCCTATAGTCCCAGCTACTTGGGAGGCTGAGGCAAAAGAATCACTCAAGCCCAAGAGTTTGAGGTTGCTGTGAGCTGTGATGCCACAGTACTCTACCGAGGGTAACATAGTGAGCCAAAAAAAATATAAATCAGTCAGCTACTGAATGCCCCTGGATAAGATCTCCATTATTTAATTATAAAAAGCTAACATAGATTATATTATATTCCAAATATAATTCCTCAACAGTTCTGATCTATTCCAAATGTGTTAAATTTTAAGAATAAGTGTTCTCAGAGTTCAATATAATTTAGGATAGAAAATGTCAAACTGCATAGAGGAAGGAATATGAAGGTATATAACCTATAATTCCTTTGAAAAAATAACATGTCTCTGAATTCCTGTTTCACCATAAAATTAGACATATTTTTCAGTACTCACTCTAACAACTCCATGCCTATTTTGATACACAAATACCATTTACATATCCTTATCAGGAAAATTGTATTTTTCCCTCATGTCAAATAAAATGAATATTACAGAAATATTCGTGATTGTCCTATAAATAGGCCATGTTTATGCTTTATATGCCACTTTAAGTCTTAGGGAGGGAGGGAAGGAGGGCGGGCTGGTTGGTTTTAGAAAAAGCTCAATTGTCTCAGGCTTCATAAGGTAAGAGTTGCCAAGCTTGAGTATGTAAATTCAGAATCAGTACACTATAGTGTCAACGAGCCTGTTATTTCTTTTTTTTTTACCCGCCACTTTATAAACCAGGAGAGTCTGCATTTTTGGGGGGGGGGGGTAGAGATGGAGTTTCACTTTGTCACCCTCGGTAGAGTGCCGTGGCATCACAGCTCACAGCAACCTCTAACTCCTGGGCTTAGGCAATTCTCTTGCCTCAGCCTCCAGAGTAGCTGGGACTACAGGCGCCCACCACAACGCCCAGTTTTTTTTGTTGTTGTTGTTGTTGTTGCAGTTCAGCCGGGGCCAGGTTTGAACCTGCCACCCTCGGTATATGGGGCCGGTACCCTACCCACTGAGTCACAGGTGCTGCCCAGGAGAGACTGCGTTTTAAAGTAAGTACTGCAGGTGGTTTTGAAACAGAAGAAACACTGACCCAAGCCATGCCTGACCCTGGTCTTACAGGTAGGTTCAAGCTAATAAAATATTCCCTTGAAATTCTCAATGTGTTGCACCTATAAGCCTTAGTCCTCTGGACTTTCAAGGTCATACAAGCTAGTAACATCCAATTTGTGTTGGGCATAATAAAAATAAGAATGATCTAGTCAGTCCCTGAGTCATCTGCTTTCTAATTCAGGGTAATTCTGTTGTCGTTCTCCTAGGAACTATCCACTAATTTCAATCAATTCAATCCTCAAAAGTCTGAACTCAACAAGGGCCTCAAGCTCTGCCTTTTAGACTCTTTAAAGTCAGTATTTTTCCAACACAGAAACAGAAATATCGGCTAGGCGCCTGTGGCTCAAGTGGCTAAGGCGCCAGCCACATACACCTAAGGTGGCGGGTTCAAATCCAGCCCGGACCCACCAAACAACAATAATGGCTGCAACCAAAAAATGGCCAGGTGTTGTGGTGGGCGCCTGTGGTCCCAGCTACTTGGGAGGCTGAGGCAGGAGACTCGCATGAGCCCAGGAGATGGAGGTTTCTGTGAGCTGTGAAGCCACGGCACTCTACCCAGGGGGACAGCTTGAGGCTCTGTCTCAAAAAAAAAAACAGAAATA